TCTCTCTCTCTCTCTCTCTCTCTTTACTCGCTAGCCCGTATTTATTCCCACCTGCATCTACACCGACAAGATGGAGGCAGCGTACAGTCCATTCACCGGCTTCCAGCAGCAGCAGCAGCGGCACTACCGTGGCGCTGGCCGCCGGGACGCATTCGATGCGCCATCCGAGAAGATGAAGCCAGTCGATTGGAACAACGTGAAGCTTGTGCCGGGTACGTGGAAGGTGCTTGACACAAAGGCCATCCAACGCGCGGCTCATGCCAAGACGGTTGTGGAGCCTGTCAAGCAATTCAACGACGATGAGGCGAAGGAGTGGCGTGACGCAAACGGCATCACCGTTTTCGGGGAGGGGTGCCCGCCGCCGCTGGCCGCCTTCGACCAGCTGAACGCGCTGGTGCCGGCCTACCTGCAGAAGAAGCTTACCGCCCAGGGTTTCACCGCGCCGACGGCGGTGCAGGCGCAGGCATGGCCCATTCTGCTGCGCGGCCGTGACATGGTTGGGGTGGCAAAAACCGGATCCGGCAAGACACTCGCCTTTATGGTGCCCGCACTCGCCCACATCGCGCTACAGGAACCGCTGCGCCATGGCGACGGTCCAATGGTAATTGTGCTCGCCCCAACGCGTGAACTTGCGCAGCAAATTGAGCAGGAGACAAGGAAGGTCCTCCCCAATGACGTGCGCTGCGGCTGCGTCTATGGTGGAGCACCGAAGGGACCACAGCTCGGGATGCTGCGGCAGGGTGTACATGTTCTTGTCGCAACGCCCGGCCGGTTGATTGATTTCTTGGAGATCAAGCGCGTCAACATGCTCCGTGTGACATACCTCGTGTTGGATGAGGCGGATCGCATGCTGGACATGGGCTTTGAACCGCAGGTGCGCACCATCTGTGGCCAAATACGCCCCGACCGGCAGACGCTCATGTTCTCTGCGACGTGGCCAAAGGAGATACAGCAGCTGGCGTCGAGTTTCCAGCGCGATTGGATCCGCTTCCACGTTGGCAGCACCGAGCTGCTCGCCAACAAGGACGTGACGCAGCACTTTATTCTTACACAGGAGCACGCCAAGTTGGAAGAACTGAAAAAGCTGCTGGCCAATCACCGCAATGAACGTGTGCTGGTCTTCTGCAAGACGAAGAGAACCGCCGACGACCTCGAGTGGCAGCTGAAGCGGTGGGGCCACGACGCCATGGCGATCCACGGGGATAAGGAGCAGCGGCAGCGCGAGTTTATTCTCGAGCGCTTCCGTAGGGACCCGCGGCTCTGCGTTGTGGCCACCGATGTTGCCGCACGTGGGCTGGACATCAAGGAGCTTGAGACCGTTATCAACTACGACTTTCCCATGCAGATCGACGACTACGTGCACCGTATCGGCCGCACAGGACGTGCTGGGGCGAAGGGCGAGGCCTTCACGCTCATCACTAAGAGGGAGCAGCAGATTACACCGGCAGTAGTGAAGGAGCTTATCGTGATTGCCCAGCGTGCGCAGCAGCAGGTGCCTGACTGGCTGCGCGAGTGGGGCGAGCAGCAGCCGCGCTATCAGGTGGTGAAGCGGAACCGTAACATGCTCGGATTCGGAGGCAGCCGCCACACGCCTGTTCTGCACAACGGGAGTCGCCCATCATTCGACGCGAAGGGCAACAGTAGCAGTAGCAGCGGCAATACCAACAGCGGGGGCGGCTCGTTTGGCCTGTCACGCCAGAACAACGGCGCAGCGCCATTCTCGTCCTCGAAGATTGAGTACAAACGGTTCGATGACAGCAGCGATGATGACGGCGCACCGGCAGCGAAGAGGCGTGCGAAGTGATTTCTCATTTTTTTTTTTTNTTTTTTTTTTCTGTGGTTGTGGTTGTGGTGGCCGTCGTTGCACGTCCCCCCGCCTTCTTCCTCGGCGGCTACAGTGAGAAAAGGAAAGGAGCACAACAAAAAGAGAAGGAAGCAAGGTGAAATGAGAAGTAGGGGGAGGGAAAAGGCTCAAGAAACGGCCACCCACTAAGAAGGGCACTAAATTTTTTAAAAAAGCTCTCTTTATTTCTCTCACGCTCTTTCTTTTTAAAGCTCTTTTACTTTTTCTTCATGCTCCTCGTTTAACTCAGTCATCACCTCTGCGTGGAGGGAAACTCGTAACTGCTCACTCGTCGTTTCTGGTGAGAACTGACGAAGAGCCCGTTTTGCGAATACTGCTACGCGATCTCGGACGGCTCTCGCACACATTGCTCTGTTGACCTTGACTCTGTTTTTTTTTTTTTGTTTCTGTATCTGTGTGTGTGTGTGTGTGTGTGTGTGTGTAGGTGGTCGGCCCTCTCTGGGTGATTGCGCGTATGTGCTGCTTGTGACTCTGCTTGATTCCATGTGGTGCGTGCGACTGTTCCTTCTCCCTGTTGTTATTGTCTCTGCTCCGTGGTCACACTGCAGTGTGTGAAAAAGGGTGTGGAGATGACGCGAGGCTTTGAGGAGCAGGAACAGCAGGAGCAGCAGCAACAACTATTAGTTTTACTGGATGTTGACAACACGCTATACTGCGACAACAATGGAGTTGGTCTGGCGAAACAAATGCGAGCTGCTCTCATCGAGTACGTAATGGACTTTCTAGAACTCTCACAAGAGAAGGCGAATGAGCTTGTTGTGCACTGCTTCCACACTTACGGCCTCACTATATTGGGCTTGGTGCGCGAGAAGACAGGGGTCGACCCAGCGCGTGTGATGGACCACGTGTACAACCGCTGTGACTTCGGCGGGCTGCGCGAGGACCCAGCGCTGCGCAAGATGCTGCAGCGCCTGTGCGACGACGGGCGGCGCCACCTCTTCTACGTGACGAACGCATCGCGGCAGCACGTCACCACGGTGCTGCGCAGCCTCGGCCTTGGCCTCGATGGCTTCTCCTACGAGGACCAGTGGGCGTGTACCGCGCCATCGCTCAGCAACAAGCCCGCACGGGAGGCGTACAGTGCCATCTACGCGGCCGTGCGGGAGCGACTGCAGCAGCCGGACTGGCTTGTGCCGCGGCGGGTCGTGATGGTCGACGACAGCGCGTACAACCTCCTTGAGCCACTGGCGATGGGCTGGGCGGCAGTGTGGATGTCGAACGGCGACGCCCTCCCGGCGGTGCTCGTGGAGCCGATGAAGACCGGGAGGCTCTTCTGCATCGAGAACATCATGGAGCTTGAGGGTGTTATTCAGCGCCTGGCAGAAGAGCCTGCATCCAATATATGATACATGCGATCATACTCGTTTTCTATTCGCGTGGTACACCCTCGTGCAACCTGGACCCTTCAGGGGAGGTGTGTGTCGGTTGCTTTGCTTCTCTGCGTTGCGTGGAAAGCCGGTCGCCGTACTTCGGGTTGCGTTTTGATTTATTGCCCTCTGTTAAATTGCTGCTGGTGCGGGTTCTGTGAGTGTTGTTAATAAAGCGTGCGGCTCTCTGTGTGTATACATCTGTTTCTGCTGGGGCGGCTACGGTGGCAGCCAATGCACTGCAGGCACGGTGGCGGTAATTGCCGAAGGTGAGGGTACAAGAGGAACATACAAAGTGGGCCTGTGACCCCGTGTGAAGGACATGATTTGGGATGCGCACATGTTTCACCACAGATTTTCATAATGATTCACCTTTATTTCCTTTTCCCTGTGTGTTTGCTTGATCGTTTGTCTTTTGAGTTACTGCTTCTGTTTTTCATTGTTCTTCTCTTTTTGTTGTTGTTTATTAATAATTCGTTTGCGGCCTCACTTCCACTCCCTCCGCAGAGAGTTAGTGTGTATTTTGCTCTTTACTACTGAAGGTCATGCGCTGCAGCGTCCCTGTGCTGCTGCTTGCCCTGCTGCTCGTCATCTGCTGCCCGGCAGGCGCGGTCCGCTTCCTGCTGAAGGACACGCAGCCGCTCTGCTTCGTGGAGGAGGTGGACGAAAACACTAAGATCGTCTCTGGCGAGTACACCCGGGCTGCCGCTGCTAGTGACGTCCCCGCGCGGATTGTCGTGACGGCGCCCGGTGGCATCGAAGTGACGAGCACCGACCTGCTGGTCGGCACACACGCCTTTTCAGCACCGGTGGGGCGCGACAACGCTGGGCAGTATCTGCTGTGCGTGCAGGTCACCGACAAGGGCTGGAAGACCGCCACGGAGTCGAACGCCATCGCCGTTGACTTCAACGCCGACCAGTCGGCGAACGTCATCCCCAGCACGGATGGCCCCATCGTGAAGAGGCAGAAGGTCGATGGGCTGGAGGTGTTCACGTTCCGCGACTTCGGTGGCGAGCAAAAGGATGTACTGCGGCCAGCCGACTACATTAAGCGCGTTGAGGACGCGTTGACGACGCTGTCCACACTCGTCGCCGAAACCAGGGACGAGATCGACCACCTCATCAACCGCTTCACGCGTATGCGGCGCACCTCGGAGAGCACCTACACACGCATATGGGCCTTTGGAATCATCACCGTGCTCGTCATGGTAATCGTCACGTGGCTGCAGTTCCGTTTCCTCAAGTCGGCTCTGCAGCACAAGAAACTGGTGTAGACCACACATATGGCAGATGCCCGCGGTAACGTACACGCTTCCACGCACACGCGTCCGTGCAGACAGACAGGCACGCGTATCCCACGGAAGGTGAGGGACAGAGAATCGGGAGCAACGCCAAAGGAAGGAGCATGGAAAACCAGAAGGCAAAGGAGAGAGGGGGGGGGGGAAAATACAAGACGAAGTGGAGGATTTGTGCGTGTCTGCACTCCACATTGTCCATCCTCGTAAAGTACACCCAAGCAACCAGGTGCCACAACCATTGGCTTTTTGTGAGTGCATCTCAGTATTTAATGTTCGACGGAATTTTGTACACCACCACGAACCTGTGTCTTCCTTCTTTTCATTGGATCCGCCCTTTTTGTGTTATAGTATAGTCGCTTTTGGGCACATGCGCTTTCCCTGTACATTGTCGGCTCAGCAAACCAACCACCCCTTGCAGAGTTCGCATATTTGTTTCATGATGCGAAACGTCTACGTCTCTGACACGAAGTGGCGGATGAATTAAACGACAACACAAATCACTCCACTCTGACAGCACTCTCCGCCCTACACTCCTCTCACTGCGCGTGCGGCACCATTGCGTTCATCTCCCCGCGGTGTGTGCCGCCGCGCCCGCGGTCTGTGGCCAGCGGCAATTCATACTGAGGGACTCTCGGAGATGCATGCCCTCAGTTGCAGCAGCAGCAGCAGCAGCACATGATGAAACACAAATGGATCGCTGACTCTGAGCACCACGTATGCCTGACAACACATTTCAATAAT